CGGGGGACGCGGCGTCTCTGCCGGCGGCCGGGAGTGGAGGCGCGCGTGGACCGAGCTCACCCTGCGCGGGGCCGCCCTGGTTTTAAACGTGAATTCCTTTCTTCTGTGATAGAGAGGTGGCGAGCGGGGGACCGACGCCGCGATAGCACCGCCTCACACGCTCCGGGCTCCCCCGCTCCGTGCTCCCCGTACGCTCCGTGCTCCCCACACTCCGTGCTTGCCTGTACGCTCCGTGCTCCCCTGCACACTCGGTGCTCCCCTGCACACTCCGTCCTCCCCGGCCCACTGCACACTCGATGCTCCCCTGCACACTCGGTGCTCCCCTGCACACTCCGTGCTCCTCTGCACACTCCGTGCTCCCCTGTACAGCCCCCCCTGTACACTCTATGCTCCCCGCACTGTGTTCCCCTGCACTCTGTGTTCCCCAGCACGCCAGCCCCCGGCCAGCCTAAGAGGCCCTTTAACATGGCTGAAGCAGCAGCCCGCTGGCCGGCTGTCTCCTGGCAGCTCTGAGGACCTGCAGGAGATGCTCGGTTGCAAGTGGATGCGGACTTCTGGAAAGTGAGCCCACTGGCCACTAGAACCTAATTCCATAATTCTCTTGGGGTTACCACCAGTGCTGTTTATCTCACAAAGTAAGGGAAGCATAAAGTTTTAGTGAAGTTAATGGAATAAAATTATACTTTTTTTTTTTTTAACCCAGAGGTACATGTAGTTTCCAGGGAGAAAGAAAGAGAGAGAGAGAGAGAGAGAGAGAAAAGAGAGAGAGAGAGCCTTACCCAGTGGGACGTGGTCACGCTGCAACCCCTACTCCTCCCTTGGGGCACGTGTGCACATGCACTTGGCCTGGTTTTCAAGCCGCGAGCCAGGACTTGAACCTTACAATTGCCCATGTGGGACCTGACTCCGTAACCACTAGGCCACGGGCCACCCATGTGTCTTCGGTTACTGTTTTGTTATACTCTGTCCTCCCTGCGTGCGTCTTACATGCCCTCACGCCCACACCTACAGCAGTGTGGGTTCTGCGCTGAGTGGCAGCAGCCTGCAGTGTGTGTGGCTGTTAGAAACGACTTCACGTTCGTAAGTGAGCCGCTGTGGTTTGAAGGTCCCACCAAAGCTTATGTTAGAATGCAGTGGCCGGGGCCAGCAGCCGGTGTGGTGGAGGGGTGCTGGAGCCCGCAGGGCTGCTACTGTCCCGCTGCTCGAGTCCCAGACCTGGCAGTTTAAGGGTGTGTGTGCCCCAAACCCCAAGAGAAAGGCGGAGGGGGGACTGTGGCATGGCTACCCACCCAGAGAGAGGATTTCTCACTTTCCCTCTCTCTGTTTCTCTCTCTCAGGTAAGTGCAAGCGCCCTACGGCAAAAAAAATCTTTTAAAAAGTCGGTTACCAAGGTACCCTTACTGGAGTAGATGGGAGGCCGAGCCCCTGGGCAGCTGCTCCCCACAGAGGTCAGATGGGCTGGTCTCTCTGCCTCAAGCACATGCCCCAGCCCTGCCCCTGTGCCAGCCGTGGGGTGACCCTCGCCAGATCCAGCCCCAGGTGTGACTTGCGAACCCCACAGCCGTGAGCCAGTGCACTTGGTCAGGGCACCCCATCGCAGCACCGCCACACTCCTGGCCAGCCGGGTCCAGGCAGGGACCTTCTGCGTGCGGTCCTCGTGGGAGGGTGGGCGGAGAGGCCACCTGTGTCTGAGGTCGGAGGGCAGTGCTCCTGCTAGACGTGGCAGTGAGCTGGCCAGGGCAGGCGCTATTGTGGCAACACCACGCGTGGTAAAGGTCCAACTTCCAGAGGCAGGCCTTCCTTGCTCTGTGTGCTGCTGTCCCCGCGTCTGGGACCTGTGTGTGAAGTGATCAGGTGTTCTCGTGGGGCAGAGGGACCGCGGTGCTGTGGCTGCCGGTGTTCGAGCGCAGACAGGCTGTGGGGTGGTCACTGGCAGGCCGGCTTTCCCAGGTGGCCCTGTGCTCGCACCCCCAGACAGCACCAGTCCTGGCTGTGCTGGCAGGGGGTGGCCCTGGGGCTGACGGCCGGGTCCTCTCACCATGGCGCCAGTGGCCCTCTCCACAGGTGTGGGGCACGGCACAGCCCGGGCACGCCCTTGGGGTCTGTCCTCACGCCCGTTGGCATCCTGGCCTGCGCCATGAAGCCCCAGCGGCCTTTGGGTTTCACCCACCTGTCCTGTGGGTTAGGTTAGGAGGCAGTGTGGCGGCCACCCCTCCGGTGGTGCCAGAGCCTTGGCGCCTGCAGCACCTACTCGTAGCCCTCTCCCCAGTCCTGGAGGAGCAGGCAGGAACCATGCTGGCCCACGGTGGAGGCTTCGGTGCCATCTGTCTTGGGCGATCCCAGAGCGTGGACGAGCCATGGCCGTGGGCAGTCTCCACTCCCAGGTGCTTGTCCTTGGCCAGTTGTCCAGTTGTGCGCTAACTGCCCTTCTTTTTCTATTTGGTAATATCGAATAGTTCTTTAAAAATTTTTGGAGAGATTTTTGCTATAGGCTGTATGCACTCACCGGAGAGTGAGAAATCACAGGGTGGAGGGGTCACGCAGCAGTCCCTTCTCCGCCATTCTCCTCTCCTCTTGGGCACACATCGCATGCACACATGCCCAGCATGAGTTTTAAGCCGCTTGTTCTGGGACTCAAACCGTGGCAACTATGTGGGAGCCCAGAGATGTAACCATTCCACCATCTGCCGGTTTTAGTACCATGAAATAGGTTTTTGTTTTGGAGAGGTTTTCACTATAGGTCGCGTGCTCTCGCCAGACAGAGAGAGACAGAGAGACAGAAAGCGAGAAATCACCCCCCAGGGGAGATGGTCACGCCGCAATCCCTTCTCCTCCATTCTCCTCTCGGGATCTTGGGCACGCATGCACACGCGCCCGGTGTGAGTTTTAAGCCACTGGGTCCGGGACGCGAACCACGGTCGACTATGTGGGAGTCCAGCGACATAGCCATTACGCTAACTGCTGGTTCCCAAATAGGCTTTGAAGTAGTCAAAAGGATATATTTCGGTATCATTCTAGGTAATTTTAGACTACATCATTTTAAAAATCTGTATTTCTATGACCTTTTATTCCAGTAGACAAGTATTTTCTGGTATATTAAGAATTACCATCGATTTAATTGTCCTAATGAAAATGCAGCTTGCTAGAGCACATACAATTAGTTTTTTAAACTTTAAAAATTCCAACTTTATACTTTTCTTTTTAGAGAAGAACCAAAGATGATACTTGGAAAGCGGATGACCTCAGAAAACACCTTTGGGTAATACTTTCGAGATTCAAGTTGGGTCTCCTGGGAGCTATGTCGTTTTCACCGGTTGTCACCTCCACAAGTCTGGCCATGCGGCTCATTTCAGAGGAGTCTGACCGGAGCCATGTGGCTGTTTCCAAGGGGCTGCAGGACCTGGCTTGGAGGCAACTGTGAAGTACGCTGCCCCGCCGGGACTCTGCCGTGGTTCAGGGCCCCCTTCACAGCTCTGGCCGGTGGCAGTGGCCTCAGGAACTGGAGGCAGCACTGTGGGGAGTGGGCTGTGGTGGTGACCGAGTGCTCTTGAGAGTTGAGAAGGAGAGTCTGTGCTCCTTATGTGGGACCCAGGTCTGTCTGGGCCTGCTGCTGCGATGCTGCGCTCTGGGCAGGGCCGTCGGGAGGCCTGTGTTGGGCTCCTTGTCTGTCCTCAGGGATGGCGTGGCAGTGCCACTGAGGTAAGATGAGGCAGGAGATGGATGCTCAGGGCTGGCCTGGGCATATAGGGAGACCCTGTCTGAAAGAGCCGGGAGCAGCAGTGTGCACCTGGAGTCCCAGCTGAGAGGCTGAGGCAGGACAGCTATGACTGGCGAGGCCCACTCTTAAAAAAAAAAACACCCTGGGCCCAGCAAGTGGCGTGGCAGTTAAGGCACTGGGCTCCCCATGGCCCACTGTGGTTAGAGTCTGGACCTAGCCACTTGTCTTCTCTCTCCCTCTCTTTCTGGTGAGTGCATGTGTCCTGTAGCAAATTTAAAACATAATGATGACAGTAAAATTAAATAATTCTTAAAAAATCAGTCACTATGCAAGTGGCATAGTGGTCAAGACGCTGGGCTTTAACATGGTTAACCACAGTTCAAATCCCAGACCCTTTGGCTTGAAAATCATGCCAGCATGTGTGCATGCATGCCCAGAATCCCGAGAGGAAGCTGACGGGGGAGGGGGCTGCAGCGTGTCCATTGTCCCTGGAGTGATTTCTCACTTTTCATCTGTCTCCAGTGAGCACTTGTGCCCTGTGGCAAAAACGACACCCCGCAGGACCAGCAGGTGGCGCAATGTGTACTTCACCGGACGCCCTCATGGCCAGCCGTGGTTGAACCCTGGACCCAGGGGCTTCAAACTCACGCTGGGCACATGTTCATGCATGCCTGAAATCCCAAGAGGAGAGTGGAGGAGAAAGGATTGCAGCATGGCCATCTCCCTTGGTGGGGTGATTTCTTTTTTTTTTTTTTTTTGGAGAAATTTTCGCTATAGGGCGTGTGCGCTCGCCAGACAGAGAGAGACATAGAGACAGAAAGCGAGAAATCACCCCCAGGGGGGATGGTCACGCCGCAATCCCTTCTCCTCCATTCTCCTCTCGGGATCTTGGGCACGCACCCACACGTGCCCGGCGTGAGTTTTAAGCCACCAGGTCCGGGACGCGAACCGCAGAGTCCAGCGACATAGCCATTATGCTAACTGCTGGTTCCCGCTTGGTGGGGTGTTTCTCACTTTCTGTCTGTCCCTCTGTCTTTCCAGTGAACACATGTGCCCTATAGCAAAAATCTCTCAAAAGAAATCAACAAAAATCCCAGGATCAGCAGATGGGATAGTAGTTACGTCACTGGACTCCTGCATGATTGACCACGGTTCAAGTCCCAGACTTGGTGGCTTCAAAATCATGCCAGCCACGTGTGCATGTGTGCCCAGGGTCCCGGGAGGAGATGGAGAAAGGATTGCAGCGTCGCCCTCTCCCCGATGGTGATTTCTCCCTTTTCCTCACTGTCCCTCCCTCTAGAAGCCCCAGCCCTAAAACGCAGTGTCTGCTTGTAACCTGTGCGGTGTTTCCGATGTGCTTTGCCAACACCATGGGCACCCGTGGCGTACAATCACACCTGGGGACGCCGAGCGTCACCCTAGTTACGTAGTCCTCGAGGGCCATTCCTTCACCACCATCCTGCCTGATCGGATGCAGCTGGATCCAGCATTTTCTTTCTTTCTTTCTTTCTTTTTTTTTTTTATTTTAGTTTTTTTCTTATTTGCTGTAGAACAACTGTGCTTGCTAGAGAGAGAGAGAGAGAGAGAGGGAGAGAGAGAGAGAGAGAGGGAGAGAGAGAGAGAGAGAGGGAGAGAGAGAGAGAGAGAGAGAGAGAGAGAGAGAGAGGGAGAGAGGGGAAGGGAGAGAGAGAGAGAGAGAAAGAAAGAAAGAAAGAAAGTGAGAAATCGCCCCCAGGATGGCCACATCACAATCCCTTCTCCACTGTCCTTGCAGGATGCTGGGCACGTGCACATACACCCCCATCATGATTTTCAAGCCACTGGGTCTGGGACTCCAGCTGTGGTTGGCCACGCGGGAGTCCACCACCTTAGCCACAATGCCACTTGCTGGTTCCCAGTGTTCTCTTAAGGTCCCACAGTAAGTAGGACTGTCACGTTCAGGTATTGAGAGCCTCATGGAGGTCCGTCCGCTTCCTGGCCAAGCAAACCTCACCCCTACCCCTCTCGTTTCAGGCTGTGCCTTCAGGGGCCCCCAAAGAAGGGAAGAGACACCGAGAAAGGAAACCGCCCAAGGGGTTGGAGGCAGACCTGCTGGAGTACGTGGAGCGGAGGCAGAGGGATCCTGACCAGGCGGCCCAGAGGGACGGCCCCCCTGCACAGGAGAGTCCTCGCGGGGAGAGAGGGACGCAGAAGGAAAGGAAGAAAGACACCAGAGAGCGGGACAAAGAGAGGCTGAGAGAGAGACACCGAGAACAGGACGCGGAGAAGTCGCACAGCCGCGGGAAGGACAGAGAGAAAGACAAGGAGAGGAGGGCCCGGACAGAGGAGCTCAGGCAGACCACGGCCTACCACAACCTGCTGGGCTGGGAGGCTCGCGCGCAGTTCCTGGGGAGCAAGAGCCGCTCAGGTGAGAAGGCACGGGCAGAGGCGTGCGTGAGGGCGTGTGCATGGAGCAGCTGAGGTGCCAGATGGTGGGCCATGCAGGTGAGGGCACGGGAGCTCAGGTGTGCAGAGGCAGTGCAGGTGAGGGGCGTGGGTGCCGGATGGTGGGCCATGCAGGTGAGTGGGTGTGGAGCCCAGGAGTGCACGAGGCAGTGTGCATGGGAGAGGCGCAGGAGAGAGAGCAGGTGATGCTCAGGCCCACGCGTTGCTGGGAGCGCTAAGGCTGAGGGGCGTCCCCAAGGACGCCTTTCTCCGTTCGTCTTCAGGGTCTGTGGTCTGACTATGCCCCGTGGAGGGTGCTTTCTTCCCTCCTTCTCCGTCTCTGGAAAGTGCGCATGCCCTCTGGAAAATTAAAAAATTAAACCAGCTGGGGCCAGCCGGTGGCACAGTGATTAAGGTGCTGGATCTCCACCTGAGTGACTGTGGTTTGAATCCCGGGACTAGTGTCTTGAAACTCATGGCGAGCGTGTGTGCCCAAAATCCTGAGAGGAGGGTGGGGGAGAGGGGTTGTGACATGGCCATCCCCTCTGGGAGTGAGTTCTCACTTTGTTTCTCGGTCTCTCTCTCTCTTTCCAGCGAGTGCGTGTGCCCTGTAGCAAAAATCTTGCAAAAAATATGACCAAAAAAAAAAAAAAATCAACTAAAAAATTTTAAGTTTCAGCTAATATAAGTGAAAAAGGAATGTATTAAAAAGTACATAGTAAAAAAAACAAAAAACAAAAAAAACAAAAGCGTAGGTAGTGCTGGGCCGGCAGGCGGCATGGTGGTTAAGGGTGCTGGACTCCCACACAGCCAACTGTGGTTCGAGTCCTGGCGGTTTGAGTCCTGGACCTGGAGGCTTGCTTTCTTTTTTCTTTTTTTTTTTTTTTGAGAGGTTTTTTTTTTTTTCGCAAATCGCTATAGGGCGCGTGCGCTCGCCAGACAGACAGAGAGAGACATAGAGACAGAAAGCGAGAAATCACCCCCCAGGGGGGGTGGTCACGCCGCAATCCCTTCTCCTCCATTCTCCTCTCGGGATCTTGGGCACGTACGCACACGCGCCCGGCGTGAGTTTTAAGCCACCGGGTCTGGGACACGAACCACGGTCGACTACGTGGGAGTCCAGCGACATAGCCATTACGCTAACTGCTGGTTCCCGAGGCTTGCTTTCTCACTTTTGCTCCATCTCTCTCTTCTCTGTTCCTCTGATCAAATAAATAAATAAAGTTAAATAAAATAATTATTTTTTTAAAAAAAAGGTAGTATAGGGATCAGCAGCCGAAGTAACGGCTGTGTCGCTGGACTCCCACGTAGGTGACCGTGGTTCGAGTACTGAACCCAGCAGCTTAAAACTCATGCCAGGCACACGTACATGCATGCCCCAAATCCCAAGAGGACAGTGGAGGAGGAGGGTTATGGCATGTCCGTCTGCCCTGGGGGGTGATCTCTCACTTTCTGTCTGTCTCTGATGAGTGCACATGCCCTACAGCCAACAGTCTCTTTCTTTTAGAGGTTTTTGCTATAGGGCATGTACGCTTGCCAGAGAGACAGAGACAGAGAGACAGAAAGTGAGAAATCCCCCCCCCCAGGGGGTTGACCATGCCACAATCCCTTCTCTTCTTGGGATCTTGGGCACGCACACACATGTGCCCAGTATAAATTTAAGCCACTGGGTCCGGGACTCGAACTGTGGGTGACTACATGGGAGTCCAGCGACATAGCCGTTACGCCAAATGCTGGTCCCGCCAAAAATCTCTCTCTGAAAAACGTAGTGTGGCTGGCCCGCGGCATGGCAGTAAGGCTGCTGGGCCACACATGCGGGCTGTGCCACTCGAGTGCTGGGCAGGGCTTGAGAGACACGCTGGGGACATGTGCACGCATGCCCGAAATCCCTGAGAGGAGAAGGGAGGGGGGACGGAAGCATGGCCGCCCCCAGAGGGTGATTTCTCTCTTGCAAATACGTGCGCCTGTAGCAAAATTAAATATATACGTGTGTGTATACATATGTGTTTATATGTGTATATAGTAGCTATACATAAAGTATATGTATGTGCAGTATGTATATTTATATGCAGTGCATATATGTAGTAACTATACGCATACATATGTGTGTAGTGTGTATGCACTTCATACGTACGTGTAACTCAGAATTTGCAGAAAGGCTGAGGGCCTTACCGTGGACGGTGGCTGGCCAGCTGTGCTGTGGGGGTGGGTTGGAGGAGCGCACATGACTGACTGTGCAGTTCGACGTCTGGGCCTGGTGGCTTGAAGAATATGAGGACATGTGTGTGCATGCGTGCTCAAGATTCCAAAAGCATGGGACCAGCAGTTGGCATAATGGCTACGTTGCTGGACTCCCATGTAGTCGACCACAGTTCGAATCCCAGACCCGGTGGCTTAAACTCACGCCAGGAGCGTGTGCGTGCGTGCCCAAGATCCCAAGAGGAGAATGGAGGAGAAGGGACTGCAGCGTGGCCATCCCCTCTGGGGGGTGATTTCTCGCTTTCTGTTTCTCTGTCTCTCTCTTTCTGGCGAGCGCACGTGCCCTATGGAGAAAAACACTCCAAAAAAAAAAAAAGCAGAGAGAAATCTGGAGGTGGGACTGTAGTGTGCTTTTTCTTTTTCTTTTTTTTTTTTTTGCTATAGGGCACGTGCGCTCACCAGACAGACAGAGAGAGACATAGAGACAGATGGAGGAGTCCAGCAAAATAGCCATTACACTAACTGCTGGTTCCCTGTGCGTGCTTTTTCACTCACTCTCTCTCTGGTGAGTGCACACCTTACAGCAAATTAAAATAACAAAAACAAACAAAAAAAGAAAAGAAAAGAAAACGATGGAAACCGAGGGCTTCTTCAGTCTTGTCCGGGTGCCGCTCCAGTGCAAGGCCGTTGGGCCGTTCAGCCGCTCTACTGCTGGCGGCCAGTTGGAATGAGGCTGCTAAAACACAGTAAGCATAGTTTTGTCACTCGGTTGATCTTTTAGTTTTCCTACAGAATGTGTGCACTTGCTAGAGACAGAGAGAAAGAGAGAAGCCCCGTGGGGGCACGGCCACGCCACGGTCCCTTCTCCTCCGTCACTCCCAGATTTTGGGCGTGCATGCCCATGCCTGGCGTGGTTCTCCAACGGCGTGGTCAGCCCTGGCGGCTCTGGCTGCCTTAATCGCCAGGCGACAGAGCCAACTCTCGTGCCTCTTTTATAACAGTTATTTTCATGATCTTTTTTTTTTTTTTGGAGAGGTTTTTGCTATAGGACGTGTGGCTCACCAGACAGACAGATCTCTTCTCGGGATCTTGGGCATGCATGCACACGCGCCTGGCGTGAGTTTAAGCCACTGGGTCCAGGACTTGAACCACAGCCCACTACATGGGAGTCCAGCAACATAGCCATTATGCTAACTGCTGGTCCCGGGCCCTGTTTCTTTCTGAGAGAATGTTTTGTTCTCAGATGAGTCTCTGTTGCTGCCTACACTTGTCTTGGTGCCGGGTGGTGTTGACTGCAGTGGGGACTGCACAGCTGCCCTTGAGGTCTGCCACGCAAGGCTCTGGGCATCTTTGGCATCTCCCTGTGGTAGCGTGTGGCCTTGCTGCAGCGTGGTCCTCCTCCCCAAAGACCAGCCCAGCCTTGTCTCCATGCCGTTTTCCTGTCCTGATGTGCGAGCTTCTCTCTGGCCAGCCTCATGCCTGAATGCCAGGCTCGTGTGCCCCGCACTCCGACGTGGCGGGAGTGCCAGGCGGGACTGAGACGGCCTCTCCAGGCTGCCGAACCCCTGCCTCCCCTCAGTTGGTGTGACTGCCCCTTGTGCGCCCTCGGTCAGAAGAGCCCGCTCATCCTGGCCCACTGTCCCTCTTGTGGCCATTAGGAGAATCTTGTGGGCTGCCCCTTGGAGTACCAGAACCTGACCCTCCCTGCTTGTGTCCGGGCTGCGAGAGGTCTGTGTCTGGGGACAGCTTGTTCAGTGGATAAGCTTTGTTTCAGTGAGTTCTGAAAGCTTGATTTTGCCCTCATCTCTTATTTTAAAATAATTACTTCGTTTTATTTATTATTATTTGATTTGCTGTAGGGCACATGCTCTCACGAGAGAGAGAAAGTGAGAAAGCAAGGTAGCAGATCTGGGACTCACTGCAGTCGGCCACGTGGGATCCAGCGCCTTAACCACCACGCCACCTGCTGGTCCCACCCTCATCTCTTAAAAATGTCACTTATCTTAATTTTAGGCCTAATGCTTTTCTTGTCTGTTCAGATTTGAAGGTGAAAACAGCTGGAGGCTGGCCTCTTGGCCTGGTGGTCTGGGTCCCACATTGAACTACAGTTCAAATCCCAGTTCCAGCAGCTTGAAAACATGTTGGAGGGGCCAGCAGGTGGCATGGTGGTAAAGGTGCTGGATTCTCATGGCCAACTGTGGTTCGAGTCCTAGACCTGGTGACTTGCTTTCTCACTCTCCCTTTCTTTCTCTGTCTGGTCAAGACTTAAATAAATAAGTACATACATACATACAACAAATGGAATGAAATAAATAATCGTTTTTTAAAAAGGAAAACACACAGGACACACGTGTGTGCCCAGGCGGCGACAGGGTGGGAGCGGGAGAGGGCCGCAGTGTGCCACGCCCCCAGTGGCTGCATAACGCCTGGCAATTAAAGAAAAGAGAAGCCCCTCGTTGTCGTGTGGGGCTTCGGCCCCGACAGTTCCTCTCCCAGCAGCTGCTCCCAGATGGTGCCAGACGCTGGCTCTGTAGCCCGCCTCCTCCCCCAGCCACATCGTGTGCACACGGTGCAGTCCAGCCACAGGCTGGCCTTCCTCTCGGAGTGGCCCGCCCCGAGGCTTCCCTCCCTCGGCTGGCTCCCGCTGACGCAGGGCTGCGTCCCGGTGGTGGTGCCTCTCCCAGCTCTGGGTCTCTGCCAGGGCCTCTGCCAGGGCTGGGTCGCTGGTGGGGAGGGTGTCTGTCCCTTGCTCTTAGCAGGGCTGTTCTGACCTCTGCCTTACTCCGTTTCAAGCGAGATACTAGGACTTCCCGTTCTTGAGTTCGGAGAATGTGTTTCAGTTGAAGACTTTTTTTTTTTTTAGGTTTTTGTCATAGGGTGAGTGCATTCCCTAGAGAGAGAGAGAGAGAGAAATCAACCCCCCAGGAGGGGTAGGGCCATGCTTCACTCCCTTCTCCATTCTCCCCTCGGGATCTTGGGCACACACGCACATTCACAAGGCCTATTTATAGTCCAGACCTGGGACTCCAACGCAGAGTTGGCCACGTGGAATCCAGCACCTTACGCCACCACGCCACCTGCTGGCCCATTCCCGAATATGTTAAGTGTATGTTAATCAATGTAGCATGTGTGATAGTATCTGCAGCAAGGCTGTGGGACCAGCAGGTGGCGTAATGGCTATGTCAATGGCCTCCTACATGGTCAACTGTGGTTTGAGTCCCGGACCCAGAGGCTTAAAACTCATGCCAGGCGCGTGTGTGTGCATGCCCAAGATCCTAAGAGGAGAACGGAGGAGAAGGGATTGCAGCGTGGCTGTCCCCCCTGAAGGCTGAGTTCTCGCTTTCTGTCTCTCTGTCTTTCTCTGTCTTAACAGTGATTGCACGCTCCCTATAGCAAATATCTCCCTGAAAAAAAAGAAACTTGAGAAGGTCTTTTTGGTGTGCTGACTTTTGAGACTGTTTGGCTTTTGTTTCTGTAGTGAGTAAAGTAAGAGGCGAAGAGAAGGAAAGGAGAGAGGGAACCTCGGAGAGAGGAGACGATGACAGAGAGAGAAGATACCGTGAGAGGAAGGTACTGCGCGGGGCGGGGCGGGGCGGGGCGGGCTGTGACAGGCGTGCTCGGAGAATTGTCCGCATCAGGGCCTGGAGCCCTGCGTGTCGTGTGGTCACTTTCTCTCCCCCTCCTGGTTGAGTGTTTTCTGCGATCTGAGGAAACCCTTGAACACTCCATTACCTGAGGAAGTTGGGAAGGTGAGAACAGATGTGAAGCAGCAGCACTGCCGTGCCCTCCCGGAGGAGAGGGTGGCGTGTAGGCACGTGTGTGCAGCAGGCGTGGGTGGCCCTGGGCACTGTACTGGAGCCGAGCCTGCCGCCTGCTACGTGAGGGGCTCGCTGCCAGCCGTGCTGCTCTGCAGAACCGGGATGGCGGGGGCCCCGGCCCCGGGGGGGCGGGGCCCCTTAGCCTGCCCCTGACTGTGGCAGCCGTCCACGGCACTTCGGGCGTTTGTTCTCGCGTACCTCCTGGTGATTCATTGCTGGGTGAGCACGCCCCGTGCACTTCGCCACGTGCTGTGCGTGTCCGCATCAGTCTAACCCTGGGGTGACGTCGTGACTGGGCATCCTCACTTGCAGTCATTGCTAATTCGATTCATAAGAACACGGCATTTGGGGTCAGCAGATGGCATCGTGGTTACGGCGCCGGACTCCCACCTGGCCACCACGGTTCAAGTCCCGTACCTGGCAGCTTGAATCCTGAGAAGAAGGCGGAGGAGAGGGGATTGCAGCGGGGCCATCCCCCGGGGTGATTTCTCACTTCCCTCTGTCTTCCTCTCTCGGCCAGGACATGTGTCCTGTCGCAAAAACCTTAAGGAAGGAAGGAAGGGAAAGAAAGGAGAGAGGAAGGGATGGGAGGAGGTGAGGGAAGAGAAGGGAGCAAAAAGAGGGGAAGAAGAGAAGGAGAAGAAAGAAACAGAAAGAAAATGGCATGTGAGCCCTCTGTCAGAGGGTCCCGGCCCCTGGGCCTGACTGCCCACACGTGCCTTGCCTCCAGTGGCCTGTCTCCTGACTGTGGGCGAGCCGGCTGTCGGGGCTGTTTGCTGATCTTTGTTTTGCATTTGACCTGGGGGGGGTCTTCCTTGTGTGTGTGTTTCATTTTGCTTCTCTGGTGGAGAGTACCATGCACACGTCCAAGAGAGCAAATGAGAGGGGAGCACCCCGAGGAGGGCCTCGGCACTCTTCAACCCCTCCCCAGCCTGCCGGCCCTCGTGCCCCAGGTGCCCCAGGGTGTCCTCGACCTGGGACCTGAGTCCACACTGTCCACGTGACTTCCAGGCTCTCAGGGCAGTCAGCACTGCTGTGTGCTGGCACCTGGCTGGCCTGTCGGTTTCCTGGGTGTGACTTGGTGAAGTGTCAGGTGCCGACCAGTGCGAGGGCAGCATCCTGCAGTGTCGTTGGTGCCAGCAGAGCCTCAGGGGGGCAGCGGCCCGTTCCCTCAGGTCAGGGGGCCCGAGGAAGGAGCGAGGGGCGGCGGTGCGTGCTGTCTGCGTGTCTCACGGGCCACGTCTGGAAGTTGCAGTACGACGGCACCCAGGACGCCCCGCTGCAGTACTGTCCCCGGAGGAGGGCGTGGGGCGGCACCACCGGCCTCGGGAGCCCCGCGGAGAGAGCAGACGCCGGGAGAAGAGCGGCGCCCGGGCGAGGCGGGAGCAGCACCCTGGAGAGGAGAGCGCGATCTCGGGCAGAGAGGGCGAAGACAGGCCCGGAGGGAGGCGGCACGCAGAGGGCCTTCACGGGGAGGACGAGCGGCACCGCGGCCACGCCGGGAAGGAGAGGCCGCCGAAGGCCGAGCACAGGAGGAGGGGCTCCCAGGTAGGCGGGCAGAGTGCAGGTTGTAGCCCTCTGAGCCTGTGGCTACCCGGTCTGCAGAGAGGAGAGGTGACAAGGTGACAGGCCTAGTAGCGAGCTGGCTGGGTGGGAGTTACTACAGCAGGCACGCGGATGTCTTGAAATTTTAAAGCTGATAAATGAATAATTCAGTCCAACAAGAAGCGAAGCAATCGGAATTGGTGGTGGTAGTTTGCAAAAAAACTCAAAACAAAGCAGCTAAACTATGAGCCACTTGCTCCTATGGTCCTAGAGATCTCCATGTGCAGAGGCCTGAGGCTGCAGCTGTTTCTGCCCACACACACCCCACTCCCCACCCCCCACCCTCACCCCCGGCACCTCCCTCCCCGGGCACCTCCCTCCCCGGGCACCTCCCACCCTGGGCCCCCCCCCCCCGGGC